TTTGGTCGCCAACATCCAACAAAATAAACCTGTAATTTATAATAATCCATCCAATTTATTCAATATAATTTGTAATTTGCAAAATCATTCAAACCAACAAATAAATTGAATCATCAACATTCAACAAAATATATATATCAACCATTTCTGAACCTGTTTAATTAAAGTCAGCAACTATTATAAGTTTTCATCCACAAGTAATTCCAAACTACATATTTCATCTAGCATAAAAATTTAAAACATAACAAGTATTTATTATTATGTTTTAAATTTTTATCCATGTGCATAAACCCAAAAATATAACTAGTAGTCTACCAAATATTTTCCATACACACCCATCCAAAAATATAACTACTAGTCTACCCTAATATTTTCCATATACATCTATACAAAAATTTATAATCCTTCCAAGAATACAAAAAAGTGCCAATTTGTCCTGTACAATTTGTCTTTGTGCACGAGTTCATCCATCTGTACCAAATAAAAAGAGAAATAATGTCAGGTAAAATTGGACAAATAATGAAAAATGTCCATGAAAAGTTAAGGTCACATTAGCAAGTTAAATGACTATCATTGTCAAATTGTAAATAAAACAACAGCATTCTTATGTCTATAGCATTACCACTTTTGTATTTCATTGTTTAGTTTTTTTAACGGACTTAAATGTAAGTCAAAGAAGAACAAGTCAAAAATAATTAAATAAAACAACAGTTCACAATAATATGCAATGGACTTCTTAACTAGCAAATATAAACTATACATATTGGCATACGCGAGTGACTAACCATACTGAAGAGGAAAATTGAAGCAGGAATTCAAACGGCCGGTGTTTGCATTTTTTATCACATTGTTTAGAGGCAGTTACATCTAGCTAATTAATACTTAATAGAAACCAGAGATCAAGTTCCCCTCCCAATTCTGAAGACTTGGGGCCAACACTAAACAGTGTCTTTTCGTTAATAATTTTTTAATTTTGTTTGGGTAAGTAATTCATTTTCGTTAACTTAAACAATATCATAAAATGTTTGTTGTAGATCATCGAGTGGAACCTCAATTAAAACAGGCAGGTAGTTCAAGCTTGTTTTTCAAGATTCTGAATGTACACATTTTTCAAGACAATTTCGTTTTCAGCTAGAAGTGTTTCAATGATCTCATAAACCCTCTTTGTACACATTTACTTTGATAAGAATTCAATCACAAGACATTAACCCTAGCAGTTTGCTATTATTTATTTATTCTTTAACTAATAGCAGTGTTGCTCTTCACTATAACTATTTTTGTATTTACTTGTAATTTCTGGCCCTGCAACACATCTTCTTCAAGCTCATCAAAAGACCTGTAGATGAAGACCAACAAGGCCAAACATGATTAGTGATTAATCTCTACTAAAAGTTTTTGAGCACTAAATGGATCTAACAGATGCATACCTTTTCCCGTCATTCCTAGCAAAAGCCTCCACACATTTCCCTCTCTATCCCACTACTAAGACCTTCAGCAAGTCCAGAGAGCACACAATGAGTTCTTTATCTTATCATACTAAACCCCAAATGAAATAGGATCGACCTGTAGCCACAGTGTCAATCAATACGTAAATGATGCTCACAGTATAAGAATTCAAATTTCAGGGAGAAAAAATGTGTTCGTCAACCAAGATAAGGAATGCAACCAGCAAAGCAAACTGCAAAATTCATGCTCACATATTGAACAAAGAAGCTTGGAGTCTAGACTTGAGGTTCATGTATTTGACATAGTACAAGTTTGGCAAAGCTCTAAACAAACCAAAGCTAGAGCTTCTCAAAGCAGAGCTTCTCAAAGCTAGAGCTTTATTAATTTGTAATTTTTTTCCACTGACCCAACTATCAAGTAATTGTCCCTAGTTAAATATCCTGGCACTTTTAGGCAAACAAGGGCAATTAAAGAACAAGATAAGGTTTGATCAAGTATCAGTTTGTTTGGAAACATTTTATGTTCTCCGAACAGATGTCAACAAAAAAATGTCACCCTTTCAGGAATTGCTAAATATCAACTAAAGGCATCCATCCTATTAATTGTTATTGATTAACGATTGAGTTTTAGTTCTAATGTATAAAACCTTTTGGAATAAATGTTTTTCCTTGAGACATCGTCCATTCATTGATTAGTTGAATTTTAAAATTAAGAGAAATGAAAAGAAAAATTGTAAATAGTGGCATGCTAAAGTGTCTAACAATATCAAAGAAACCATAATAATGTGAATTGCTAGGTTCACCTGTCACAACACCAATAGATCATGTTAATGTAAGATCCTTTGCAACTATAACCCCTGCAGCCATTGCCATATAGTATCCTCTGCTAGCCGCCACATCAGCCATCGATGCAATGACAGGCTTTGAGGTAGCAAGGAGTCTAATTTCCCTCCACATTCTGCATAAGATAAAAATCAAGGACAATCAGTCAATTTCTTTTTCTTTCCTTTCTATTTTACCTCTCTGCTATATGAGGAACAAAATATTAATCCAGGAATGGAGATACAAACATACATTAATTATACTAAACATAAGAAAGAACTATGTCTGAAATTCCAATTAGCTGAGTAAACTTCACCTTCTTGTTTTTTTCAAATATCTTTTATGAAAAAATCTTTTGTTTACAGATCTCATTGTTTTGATGTTTCTTTCGGCATGTTGTATCTTTCACTTTTAATGTCAATATTGTGTACGCAAGATATTTGCAAAATATTATTAAAAAATGCAGAACTGAATAATCATTCTTTCACATTCTTCAGCAAAAGAATGTGATATCTAATGCACTAAGAGATACTAAGAATAACATTATTAAGTTTTTGAACGTCAGTTCAAACAATCAGAGCACATTAGGCTCTGCCTCTCTCAAAAGCAACATGAATGTGAACCTCCTCCTAATGGGTAACCCACTTTATCTATTCCTTTTTCGAAAAATCCACTTCAACCGAAGAGATTAATGGAAACTGATTCTGAGAGTTGACTGCAAAAGGAATATGGCACTAGGCCACTAGCAAGTTCATTTGAGCCAAGAGTTTATTCAAATAACAGTCTGCAATGTATTGAAGGCCTGTAAAAAAGATAACCTTTTAAATATTGGGTGGAACATATTGAGTTAATTACATTATTTACTATCATGTATAAGTATAACTTGATTTTCTTTCAAGCTTCAACTTTTCAACTTTGGTTTGGATTTCAAGCACCCAAGAAGTGAAATTAGTCCATGGAAGTTCACATAGATTATGAAACGCACGACAATTTTTTTTTTTTTTTTTAAGAATGGCACTGCAACTGTTAACTGACAGTCTAACACCATTAGCACTATTACAATTAGACAGCAAAATCAAATTTTCTAATCTCACACTCAAGTTATGTCATTAACACAATACCTATTTCCCTTCTATTCTACTAATTTTAGTCTCCAGGACATGGAAAAAGTTAAATCAGTGTTCCAAGTCACAACAAAAAATTATCTTATGAATATAGGTAAGCAAAGATTAATCACCAGAGTTCGAACTACATGGTGAACAAGTTACACATCTACACAAACTGCTTGCGTTCTCCTCATAGTTCAGAAACCTGTATGGTTTAGTAATGTTCATGAATTAACCCAAAACTGCAACCAGCAGAATATTCAATAACTAGCCAACCTTTAATTTGGTCCCACCTTCTCTATAGTAGCAGCAGTAAGCTCTGCACTCTCATCTAAAGTACGATTCACACGGTCAATTTTTGAAGATAAATGCCGCTTGGTGGCCTGGAAAACAAAAAAATCCTTATTCACATGTTTTTCAATAATATTTCCAAAATAAAGCAAGATAATTGGATTTTCATAAATGTCATCAAATTGTATCTGGAAGTCATCTAAGATGGTTTAAGCAACATAGACCAACTAATATACCAGTAAAGAAGGATATGATTGCCTTGGACTTATCCAAGGACAGGGCTTTACATAGACTCATAGAGTCAATTATACAAGGTACATCCTTGTACCTTGTACTATTAATTGAGATAGGCTTCCAATTATAATAATGTAAATGTATGTGCTAAAACCCTTCTTAGGAATATCGCTGGCATTAGGATGTGCTGTCATAATTTGATCTTTTATGGCATATACTTATCCAGTTCAGTAATGTCATCTCATTATAATCAAGACAATGTTCATGGAAAAAAAGTTGCATTGTTTCGAATAAAATTATCAATTGGCGGTCTCTGTCAATGAAAGTAGTATTATTGTCAAAACAAGCACTGTCTCATATTGTTGTGTCCTTTTGTGTTTTGAGGCTATTTTAGGTTTGAAGGTTAACTAGGCCTTGGTGGGTGAGGTACTGCATACGGATGCTCTTTCTTTGGTCTGTCAAGTAGGATCACATCTCTCCTCTACACAAAGGTCGCATGTGACATGGTATGAGTAGGGTGTACTGCCAAGGAGGTTTCAAAAGAGATTGGCAGGGTAAAAAAGGAAGCATTTACAAACAATCTTACCTTGATTAAGAGCAAACTAACTTATTTCATGTCTTTGTTTAGCATATCTCAATCTAGTAATGCATCTGTAATTATAACATCAATAAAACCTCTACCTTAAGTAGAGGGTCAAAGGTGCTTCCCATGTTTGAAGGAAAAAGTATCCTTTTGTGGAGGACTTAAAGATCTTAGAATGAACTGAGCTCAAACTTCACATCACAATGCAGTGCACCAATATCAACACAAACAACATGAATATCAAACATATGTAGTAAAAGAAGTAAGAAGAAAAACTTGCCGCAATTGATGAGTAAACATTCTCAAGTTGTTTGGCTATAGTGTTGCATGCATCAGATAAACTACGCTTTGTTGCAAACATCATATCTGGAAGCTTCCAACCTTGAGAACCAACAACAAATACATAAATTACCCCTATCATACTACACATTTAAAGTCGTAAAAAAATTGAAAAATGAAAATCTATAAATTACTAAAGCATAGTCTACGAAGTAAAAATGGATGTTATATCTGTTTACTAAAAAACATATAATTTTTTTTCACCTTTCTAACAATACCAAAATTATTCAAGCTCTTATATTTGAAATCTACCAAGTTCAGGACACTGAAGAAGGCCAGGAATGAGAGGATAGTGAGGTGAGTTTGGAGATCAATGAAGGCTCAAGGCAGCACTCTTGAGGTTGAGGGTGTGCAGACAGTCGCCACTACACGAGTTTTGGTGTCTCACAAATCAGCTTTTGATGGGCTTCATATAGCAGTTTGGCAATTCTTATTGAGCTGTGCAGCTAGCTGCACTATAGGCTAAGAACCAATCTTATCTTCCAGACTAAAATAAGTGCAGTTTTTAGAGCCTACAAGTGTAGCAGGGTTGATTAATGAGCCTGGTACATCATATGCTGGCCCACTTCACCTGCAGTGTAAAATGTCCTTACGACTTCTTCATTTAAATGTACTCAATTAAAAGAGGGTTATTTTTCTTCCCACAGCTCCCTTGGGGCCATGGATAATTAGAGTATCATTCTTTGAGATCTAATATGACTAGGATCCAACATCAGAGCAGCCATTTTTGTAACTACAATTTATCTTTTAAATTCAAGTTTATTCATGTTTAAGATTTGAAACAACTCACTTTGTATTTCTTTCTCCTTATTCATTAGAGCAAACCAACCCTCTGTTCCATTTATTACGTCTCAAGGTCTTCAAAACAGTTTACCACATTTGATGCGCCAATGACATGATGGCCTATCCTTTCATCCACAGTAAGATAGAAGTCCAACTATAGTGTCAACCAATGCTTGGCATTAAACCATAAGATTGCCTGTTCAAATCCAACTTAGAAAATATAGGCAAAACATTTAAGTCTAAGCAAGCAATATATCAGTTTTACAGTTCCTATACTATGCAGTCGCTCAAACTCTTATGCATTAATTTGTGCTGCTCAATCTTCTTTTAGTTACTAAAAGAAGTTCAGTAACTTGTTTGATTAGGCAATCAAAAGGAAGTTTCAACATTTTAATGGTAGGAAGTTTCAACATTTGTCTGACTAGGCATGCCATGGTTGGCAGACTTCAAGACCGCCAGAGTCTAATAATACAGTTAGGGTGATTCAGAAACTAAACTTGTTCCGTACAAAATTATGAATTCTGCAAAATCAATACCTAGGTAACCCAACCAACCCACCCTAGCCATGCAAACAAAGATCAATATGTAAGCAAAGTCTAGCTAAAGCACAATTTCAGTCTTGCAATCAAAATGAAGCTCAGATAATAGCAATAAGCAAAGCTACCTCAAACTGTCCATAAGACTAGATAAATGCCAGCAGGCATGAACTCTGAGGAAAAACTGACTTGTTAGAACTCATCGATTACGGATCCCAGTGCGAACAGATATCCACTCATCTGAAGTATCAACAACTTTGGCAAGATCATTATTGGAAACTTGAAGACTTGGTACTTCAAAACCACATCCAACTAGTTTGCAGCGTTTACTGACAAGCCTGTATAAATTCAATCCCAAAATCATAAGGCAAGCAAATGATTTCTCCAATGAATTACCAGAAGCTGATTTGAGATTTCCATATTCAATCCATTGAACCAAATAAGGATCAACTTGAAACATATATGTGCTAACCATATATGTGGTAGTTAGAACTTAACTTGCGTATAATCACAACGTTTTGAAATATAATATATTAGTATTGAGTAACATTTGGATAAAAAAAAAGTATAACACTACTATAAAAATCAGTAGCTATATCACAAATTGTTACAACTTCACTTCAAAAACTGCATATTGTGATAATTATACAAAAAAAATTACGTAGCATTTATTACAAAAATTCATAACGTTCACCAAAAAATAAGTAATAAGGTCATATCGAAGAAATTTCCTTTGCAAATTCGTCATAACAATTTATAAACTGCGCACATCAAAGTCCTACATTAAATGATACTTTTCTAGTGCTCAATAAACAAACATAAATGTTCGTTCATCTCCAAATCTTTCTATCCTCCGTCCCAAAACACTCAAGTCATTGGATCATTGAAATCTCAAAATGTGATGATCTAAAGACATAATCTAATAAATGTGAATGTTTTGAGACAAGGGAAGCAAAAAATTGGAGACAAAAAGACTTCATATCGTAGCTAATATATGAATTTTCACATGGCTTCCTTGTTGTACACACACAGCATAGGCAATAATGGAAGCAAGTACTGAATGCTTAACATGGTTTACCTTTACCCATTACTACCATGGCTTTGGTCACCTAGCAGAGTGTGAGTGTTGAATATTTTTATTAAGCCCAATTATCAGGTAAGTTTCCTATAATTTTACACAAAGACTAGCTCAAAATTTATTCTAATAGGAAAAAAGTTAGATATTGATGTTCCTATTATAACAATAACAAAAGAACAAAGAGAAGAAAAATACCTAATACAATAACTAAGCTGACTTTTGTTGGCTATATCATAGAATACCATATACATCTATAATACCAGGAGGAAACACTGGATCAGTTGCAGCTCTTACAACAACCCGTACCACTGAATTCACGTTCACTGGAGGTGTAAATAGAAGGCCAACCAATGGGATTTGGTTGAGTGGCTTCGCATGTTGGAGAACCTGCAGTGGCAACTTAACAACACTATTCTGATTTCATACCAAAAATCATCTTCTTTTATCTCATAATCAATTGGAGGAAATTAATTATCTAAGAATTGTGCTAATGGTTGAGGGTATGAGAATTCCGGGAGCTTCTAAATGCACCCACTAAACTTTTTTCTACACCCACATGTACAAGTATTTCTCCATAAGATAAAAAATTCTACAATGCATATGGTGGGTGTGAAGACAAATTAAGTGGGTGTATTTAGAAGCACACAAAAATAACATGCACCCATAATTAGTTGCAAATTTCAATTGTAAATAATCAAAATTGCTATTAGTCATCATGCTCATAAGATGATAAAGGATCTTGTAACAGATTATAAATATATAATTGCCCTTAGGCTTGTGTTGTATTCAGTATATTAAGTTCAAACTGAACCTTCCCACAAAGACAATGTTTCTTTGCGACAATAAAGTCAAAAGAAGATCTTATGACATTCATTTCAATCATTCATAAGAAACTGAAAAAAGATTTGAAGAGAAAATTGAAAGATGAGATGACTAGTTCAATCAGATACCCTCACTGATATTATCCTTCAAAAAATACAACAGTATTGCGATTGTTGCTTGTTATGTTGATTTTCAACTAGACACTCCAGCAGCTTAGGTCCTATTACCCCAATAAAGAAACTCAAGTTCGGGTCTCCTTAACTTGCCTATTAAAGGAAAAATATATTTCCAATTGCCCAATTGTTGCTTACTAGGGAGAAGCTTCAATTACTTTGAGGCAATTGAACCCAAGTACACAAATTGATCAAAGGTAGCACATACAACTTCATCTTAATACGAAATTATTGCCAAAGAAATTGAAGCACAAAACCACCAAAGATGTCCTTTATGCAATGGAACACTTTCTTTTTTTTTTTTTTTTTTTTTTTTTTTTTGGAACACATTGACTGAATAAGAACTGTGATACTGTGCTAAATAGAGATGTCAATAATCTTGAAGGGAGAATACGAATTTTACCTCCATATGGGAACCTAATCATTAGCTCCGTTTTAGCTGCTTTCTACATCAGTTTATAAAGGCTACATTAGAAAAAAGGGAATGACAAAGAAACTTTAAAAACAAAAGAATTCAAGTATAAACTATGACAAAATTGAGATATTGTAGAAATTATTAATTACATGAGAAACATGGCAGTTGTAGAAATTATTTGATGTAAATACAATCTGGAGATATTCTATGTTCTGTGTATAGTACTCACCTTTCAGCATTAGTATTAGTTCACATTATACATCAATATAATTTCTTTAACTCTTTACAATATATATATATATATATACATGTTTTTAATTAAACTAAACAGTAGGAACCATTCAGTTCAGTGCCATTCCCTGGGTTCAACAAAACATTTAATTGCGAAATACAAACAACAAATGTTTGCACATTTTATTTTTGTTTTGCATAATTTGTTTGCAGTATAAAAATAACTAGAAAGCCAAATAGTACCTTCCCCTCATAATATCCTTATGGCAGGAAATTTGCTAAACTAATTTCCTAAACCCACCAAATACTTTTCAGCAAGAACATCAAAAATATATTTAGACAATATTTTCCTATGGTGTACCTTTTCAGCAAGAACATAACAATGTATGCAAAAATAGGTGTAGATATAAACTCACCAGAGAAAGAGGCTACAAGATCTCGCGTCTCTTGACTCCAATTGAACCCACGAATGGCCTCGTGCACACCCACATAGTCCAGCATCAAAGAAAAAGTTTGTGATGCAGCTGAAGTTCTTTAGCTAGCTGCTGGAGTTCAAAGTGATCATCTGTCAAAAGTAACCTTGATTCTCAACAAGTACAATACAATTCTGGAAGTCAGCAACCATGATTTAATGGGATAAAAATAGCCCCGTCACCATAAAACCGAGAAAGAAAAACTTGAAAGAACTATATGAGACATGAAACAAATTAACCTGGAAGCAAGGTAAGCCTTTAATGTCATTTTTGGTGACAAATAGCCATCTAGAAAAGGAAAAATATAAAAAATAGAAGAATGTAGAAAAGAAAGAGATAGAAGTTTAGAGGCATAACCAAATGAAATCGAAGAAGAAGAGAAAAAATGCCATGCTCAACAACGGTTCATCCAAAAATCACACTCAAATCAAACCAAGTTTAATTCTTTCAAAATCACACCCCTATATCTCACTTTCAGGATCATACTTTCAGAATCACACCCCCTATACTTTCAAAGAAAGGAACTGAGAATTTTAAGTAGGATCACACCCCTATATCTCACATAATTGAACAATCAAAGCTAAATTTAGAATCTAAAAAAAGGTCTACTTAACCACCATACATATAAATCAATAAAGTTCCACAATCAAAATCATCTGATTAAAAAAAATGAACACAAACCCTAGAAGACAAATTGACAATCAAACAAGAAACAAAGTGAGACCAACAATGTCAAAATTTTACACAGAAAAAATGGCAATGAACAATGGAGCACTATTGCTACAACACAAAACATATATATATACATATATATAAACCCTAAAACCATCATAAAACCCCAAATCAATGACACTGAACAACACAGTCATACAAAATCAACTCACATGTCGTCGATGTAGATGTGGCCTAGAAGATGAATCGAGTAGGGCCATTCGTCCTGGAATGTAATCCCCTGTGTTGAAACCTAGAGAGAGAGATAGAGAGAGAGAGAGAGAGAGTAAATTAGGGTTTGATAAAAAGAGAGATCAATAATGGAATAAAAGGATGGGTAATGTGTGTGCCTGAAGGATGAGGTCGTCGCAGATATTGGCGATCTTGTCGTAGGATTTGGAAGCCATTGCGTCGTTGTGGATCGCTCACGACGGTCAGATCTCGGCCTAGGATTCAAATCTGATTTAGATTTCGACGATCTTCTCGGATCCTGTAGAGGCAGCAGTGGAGGAGGAGAAGGAGAAAGAAGAGGATCATCGACGGCGATGGGTGTTTAGGAGAGAGAGAGAGAGAGAGAGAGAGGCACCAGCGGAGGACAGAGGAGGATCACCGACGGCAATGGGGATCTGCGGCGGTGGCCATGGCCGTGGCGATCTGTGCCGGTGGTGGTGGTCTGCGATGAGGTAAGGTTTGGTGGTGAAGGAGAATCTGTGTGAGGTTTGAACAAATGGTTGTAAACAGAGAACAGCGGCAATGATATATATCCCACTAAAAAAACATTTCACCTTTTGCAACTAAATTTGTTTTTTGTCGCAGAATCTTAATATATAACGACTAAAATTTGGTCGGCCATTGTCTACCAGTGCATGTAGATATCAAAACGACGTCGTTTTGATATCTGTGACTAAATTGTATTAGTCGCTAAAAGATTATACTGTTCCCATCCAATTTTTCACCTCCTGACATCATTTTTAGCAACTCATATTTTAAATTGGTCGCAAAAAATCACTTTTTTGCAACAAAATTATTTTAGTCGGTAATAGTATCAACTTTTAGCTACGAAATGTTTTTTGGTCGGCAAATGTCATTTTTTTTGCGACTAAAATTTTTTTAGTCGGCAAAAGTGATCGGCAAATGTGTAAATTCTTGTAGTGCTAGTAGCACTATTAATGACGTTGAAACCCTAGCGACAGTGTTGCCGAAGCTAAGTTTTGAAAGCCATGATGGCGTTGCAGGTGAAGACAGTGGGACAGGTGTTGAAGAAAACAGACTGGCAGGCAATGATAGAGGCATGGTAGAGGTCGCTGGTGGGGATGAAGGACAGGACGTGGCGGAGTCTTGTAGAGAGAGAGAGAATGAGGGATTGGAAACCCTAGGTTTGGAAAAAGAGGGAAAGTGAAATGAGAGAAAAAGTCAAACTAAAGGAAACCCTAGTTTAGTCATTTTGTACGAGCTTGTCTTTATGGATAAAGTATTTTAGAGTGTAGACATTTAGGTAAAGAAAATTCAAATTTGAATTTATGAACCATGGTACCCTAATGTGTAGGCCTTCAAATATTTAATTGTTATATAAAGTTTAAATTTTGTTTAAAAAAAAGAAAAAAGAAAAAGCATCATTTTCATTATGTTTTTGAAATGTAACATTTCAAAACTAATCAAAACAAAGGTTTGATCTGTATTGATCCCCCAGTTGCCATACCATCAATAGGTATTATCTTTTCAATGTTCTTGAGACACTCATCATAGCTCAACATACTTTCAAATTATACTTTTAAATAGAGTAATGATATATAAGCAAAAAAATTCATAGATTTCATACAAAATGATATTACTCAATATGAATCATTCACATTAAAATTAAACATTTGTGAAAATAAGTTTATTTATAAAAATGATACTGACATATCATTGGTACAATGAAAATTATACTTAAGTCCACTTTTTTGACCTATTTTCTAGATCCAGAGATGTGTTAAGAAAATGATTGATTGATAATTAATGGATATTTAATTATCAACCAAACATCTTCTTAACACATTATTGAGTTTAGAAAATTAGTCTAACTTTTGAGTCTAAATAATAATGCCCTTTATGTGAAACTTTATGTATGAATAGAACTTTCTTTCCAAATATGGAAAGTACGATGGCCTTTGTCATATTTTTAAGCACACTCTTAATATATAAAGCAAGAGAACTCCAATACCTTGACACACCAAAGCTTTACTAACCATCCACCTGTGTAATAGTGCATACAAGAAGAGAGAGAGAGAGAGAGAGAGAGAGAGAGAGATGATCATGAGCAACAACAAGAACACAGACTCATTATCAAAATCATTTCCAATGAATGGTGGAAATGGCACATACAGCTACTCCAAAAACTCCAGCATTCAGGTATACATACCCGTAACCTCTACTAGATATTCAACTAAAATGAATCATATATATATACACATATATATTTTTATTACATTGCATTTGTTGTTATTTTTATGTTTTTTTAAATTGGAGGTTGTAACTTGGGAAGGAAAGTCATGCCTGAGGCTAGACTTGAAGTCTTGAACCATTTATCTTATAGTGAAGTGCAAAGTTTTGGTTGTTTGTTTGTTTCAAGCATTCATGTCAAATAGAGGCATGCCACATCCGCACAACACGGTTTAAGCCTTTGGGTAAAAATTTTAGACCACACTTGCAGCCCCGAAGTTTAACATACATTGTTGAAGCTAAAACTTAATTACAAGTGGTGATTCCATTTGAATGTAAATTAAAAACAATTTAGTTTTAATTTTTATCCCATTTAAAACTTTGTATATTTTTACATATGTTTCAACATAGAGTTCAAAAAATGATCTTTAACATGGTGCAGATGGTCTAAACACATCAAAGTTAAAGCAAATTACTATTCAGTCGTAATTCTATAAAATTATTACATATTTATAGAAAATTTTATGATTTTAATTAGGGAAAGCCTAAGGGGTTGCACACCACATGCACCCTACAAAAAATTGGTGTAATTTTATCATGAAATTTCGTAATATTAACCACAATGTATAATCTCGCCACAAATTAACATAACAAAATATTCAAGTAAAGTGCAAAGTTTTGGTTGTTTGTTGTTTCAAGCATTCATGTCAAATAGAGGCATGCAAGATCCGCACAACACGGTTTAAGCCTCTGGTAAAAATTTTAGACCACACGTGCAGCACCGAAGTTTAACATACATTGTTGAAGCTAAAACTTACAAGTGGTGATTCCATTTGAATGTAAATTAAAAACAATTTAGTTTTAATTTTTAAACCATGTAAAACTTAGTATATTTTTACACATGTTTCAACAGAGAGTTCTAAAATTGATCTTTAACATGGTGCAGATGGTTTAAACACATCAAAGTTAAAGCAAATTACTATTCAGTCGTAATTCTATAAAATTATTACATATTTATAGAAAAATTTATGATTTTAATTAGGGAAAACCTAAGGGGTTGCGCACCACATGCATCCTACAAAAAATTGGTGTAATTTTATCATGAAATTTCGTAATATTAACCACAATGTATAATCTCGCCACAAATTAACATAACAAAATATTTAAAATTTTGTAGTTCATTTTATAAAAGTTTATGCCTTGGCTACGACATTTTTGTTATACTAATTTGTGGCGATATTACATATTTTGTAGTTGATATTACAAGATTTTATACTAAAATTACGTCAATTTATGGTAGGATGCATATCATGCATCCCTAAGGGACACACCTTTTAATTATTAGTACTTATAAAATTTATTACTTATTCATAATTATTTTTCCAAATATCTACTGAACTGAAATTTCCCTCAAAGTTACACACTAGGTGACAGTTTTTAAATGAGTCCCTACAGAACCATTTGAAAATTTTAAATCACATATTTGATTAACAGTTTTTAAAAAAGTTTTTGAATTTTGTTATCTTTCTTTTCTTTCGTAATTTTTTTTTTTCCATATTCTAAGCATTTTTATTTTATTTTATTTTTTGATCCTCTTACTCTACATACATTTAAAAAAGTAAAAGGTTTGTGAAAAATATTCTAAAATTTCACTAAATATAAAAATATATATATATATATATATAAATTCAGCATATTTTCAATTTTTTTGGTATTTATTGAATAAATTTTTTTATAATTTTTTTAAAATATTTTAATTTTTAGACACATGCACTTCCCGTATGCATTTCCACATGAAAATAGTATTAATCATAATGTTAAGATGATGACATTGACAGTGCACATATCAATACCTATTTATCCTTTTGTTTGCAGAGAGAAGCTTCAATAATTGTGGAAGCACTGATCAACGAAGTAATTGCAGAGAAGCTTGACATAGAAAACATCTCTTCCACTTCAAACACAATTCGTATTGCAGATTTGGGATGCGCATCAGGAACAAATACAATCTTTGCTACCCAACACATAATAGAAGTTGTGGAAAAACTCTATCGGTCCAAAGGGTTCGAGTCCAAAATACCCGAATTCCAAGTCTTGTTCAATGATCTTCCCACAAATGATTTCAACACCCTCTTCACTTCTTCACTCCCCTCGGAAAAGAACTACTTTGTGGCAGCTGTACCAGGTTCATTCTATGGTCGGTTATTCCCCGAGTCCTCTCTTCACATAGTTCACTGCTCCTGTGGACTTCATTGGCTTTCTAAGGTACCAGAGGAGATTTTAAACAAAGATAGCCCTGCCTGGAATAAGGGAAAAATTTACTACACAAGTGCCTCAGATGAAGTAGCTGATGCTTATGCATCACAATTTGACAGAGATGTTGACAACTTCTTGAATGCCAGAGCTGTGGAGATGGTAAGTGGAGGGTTGATGCTACTTCTCACAATAGGTGCTGCAGATGGGGTGTCTCGTTCTGAGATGCCTCAAGGTTGGGTTCATGATGCTTTTGGGTCTAGCCTCATGGATATGGCTAAAGAGGTCAGTCAGTAATACTAATCCCTTTACTTTAGCGTAGAAAGGGTTTTAAATATGAACATATTGTCGGTCCTCAAAGTATGCTGTCTTTTTCATTTTTAGTCCATCATATTTTAAATGTAGGGCATTGATTTAGACCCCTTAAAACACCCACCCCACAACTCCTTCACACACATAGAGGTTGGGGATTGGGTGAGAAGAAAAAAAAAAAAAAAAGTTGACCAATCAAAACTAAAGGGGGTCAAGGGGTGACTCCCAAAAGGAGTCTCAACCTTTATTCTTAAATGTATTAATTTACTCTCCAACTTATTTAATTTGTATTTAAATGATTGCTAGCACAATATCCGTCTCAATTTTGTCTTCTGTTGTGAAATTTGGATTAAAATAAAGACAGCTATTTAAATACGGGATGTGATTGAGACTCCCTCCAATCACCACCCCCACACACACGTGGCGGGTGGTGATTGGAGGAGAAGTAAAAAAAAAAAAAAAAAACTAACCAATCAGAAAGAGAAGGGGTCAAAGGGGTGGGGGAAAAGGGGCTCGGATCATTTTTCATTTTGAGACCAACAGTCTATTTTACCCATTAAAAAATGACTAAATTCTCAAAGTTAAAACTAGAAAAAGGGGTGTGCGTGGTGCGGGTCGGTGCAGTTTGAGAGAAAAATAGAAACGGTATGGCGAGTGGCGGATTGATTAAAGTGTCACTAGAATTTGCCATTTTCCTTATCAAAAACCGACGGTTCGGTTGGCAAATAATGGTGGATTTGCCTTGGCGGTTCGGGCAGATTGGCAGTTTATAAAAAATATAATTCAAATTACAAAACTTAAATCAAAGAGTAAAAAAAAGACGAGAGATACCGTGATGTTAAGCATCTTGCGAAAGTTTCTTCTGATACAGCAAATATAACTACAACATGATAATATCAACGATTATGCCATTAGTTCATTATAAGCATCTGTGGAAGCTACAATGATAAAATACAATACATAAAATTCCTCTCGAGCAGTAATGTAAAACTATATTCTAGAACAACAACAAACTTAAGTAAAAAAGAATTTTTAAAATCTTATAAAACATGATTTAATAGTAGTGCGGGTCGGTGTGGTTTGGAAGAAAAATAGAAACTGGCGGATTGATAAAAGTGTCACTAGAATTTGTCATTTTTCTTACCAAAAACCGGTGGTTCGATTGACAAATAATAACGAATTTGCCTTGGCGGTGCGGTTCGGTGTGGTTTTGGCAATTTCGGCGGTTTCGACAGTATTATGCACACCCCCAAATCTATGTTATATTAATGCTAATTTGGGTCTCAAAGTAGAGTAATGTTATATCTAAATGGATTTTTGTCATTTTTTTTTTTTTTTACCATTAGGCACTTATTTTAGGTCACATTAATAAATACACTTGATTAATTGTCTTTATAAATTAGTTTAGATATAGTTTTTTCCCTTCACTCCCCCCCCGCCCCCCCGCGCGGCGGGCCGCATTCCTAATGCATTTTTAACCCCAAATTCTATTGGAAAAAATGTTTTCAAATATTAATTTTTAAAAATTTTTCATGAATAATTAAGTGGGATTCACACGTCCATTTGGATGGATCTAAGAGGTAATATGTATTTAGTTGGTGGAAATCAATTTTCGTGTAAATGAAAATTGATGCCGAAGTGTGCCTCACGAAATATTTTATATGTTTGAATAAGGTGCAATTCTCTTGTCCATATTGGAAATATAGAAGGTGGTTAAAGTGTTTATAAGCTTCAAGTTGGACTTTTGGGTTTGGGTCCTTAGGGCACCACAAATTTTGTAAGAAAGTTATAGACCAAATTGGGTTGGATCCAAAAACAACACACACGTAGCACCATCACCCCACACCATACCAGGTGCATGGTGTGGGTTAGGTTGGCCCGTTGCTTATCTTTTTAGGCAAAAAAAAAAACTTTTGAATATAAATTTTTTGCGCTAAATTCAAAATTCTTGGGCCAAAATTTTTGAAATTCATATTTGAATTCCTATTGTCTTTTTCGAACAAGTGCCTGTCTGGCGACGTACAGACATGACTTTTACACCCATGTCTTTTCTGGTCAATCAGAACATGTGTTTCCTTGCCTATATAAAGGCAGTAGTCCCTATTCCAATTTTTTTTATGCATTTCGAAATTCCTTTCTAGTTTTCATACTTTTATTCTTCAATTGTGAGTATGTGTTTGTGTGAGTGAAAGGCACAATTCTGGTTTGTTGTACAATCAAAGAGAGTGTTATTTTTACTTGTGGTGATTGTTTTTATCATGGAGACAAGACACCCATTATTCTCAAGTACTATTGTAGAGGACGAAATTATCTCTTAAAGACACTATCAAACACTAGCCTCATTACAAACTTTTTCATAAATAATCTACAAAAGTTATTTACGATTTAATTTTTGTTGTTTATTTATTTATTTTATTTTCTTAAATTATTTATTTTTGCAATCATATCTAACAAAATCATATCCCGAGATTCCCACTGCATTGTATATAGTTGGGAGTGCATTGAGGATAAGGGTACAAATGACCCTTGGCCCAAAATCTTCTATCCTCTTTTCTTCTCACAGGTGATTATGCTCTTGTTATTTGAACAAGAACTTCATCGATTTTCTAGGTAGGGTGAGCCTTAGGCATAGGTAAGAAAGACTGCAGCCTAGAGGCCCCAAACTTTTTTTGTAGAATTTTTATTTATTTTTTAAATATGTAAACAGACTCTATGATAGAGTATCTCTAAGTAATACTAGTCAAAATATCTAACCAAAATTTTACTTTTATTACTTCAGCTATTGTAAATGCTTATTTATTTTAACTATCGTTCTTTAAAATATTCATTCAATACTTTTATGAGAGAGAAAAGCATAGAGTAAATGGTTTAAGAATAAAAAATTAACTCACTAATGAATATTGGCTCCATAGAAGTAGTTAGTTATTGTATACAACTATTTTATGTAGTCTTTTTAAATAGTATGCAAGAGATATTTTTCTTGAATTTGACTAGGTATTTTAGCTAAATTATTTGCTTAGCTAGTTTCTTGTGAATGCTTGAGGGTTTTAGCTTAATTAGGGATCCTGAAAACTCAGGACCAACCTCTCTAAATAAACATGAAATAACCAATATTTTGTACAGGGATTGATTAGTGAAGCTAAAGTGGACTCATTCAATGTGCCAATCTACATAGTCCGCCCTAACGACATGGTCAGAGCGGTGGAGAGAAACGGTTGTTTCAGCATTGAGAGAATGCAGTTGACAGATCCCTTGTTGAAAATTGACGAGCCCCTTGACATGCACGCATGTGTAACGCACGCAAGGGCTGCCCTAGGGGGACTGATAGCGAAGCACTTTGGAATTGAGAAACACTTTGAAAGTGAGATAATGGACGAAATGTTTGACCGGTTTGACAAAAAAGCTGTTGTCTTCTCCACAATGGAGCCAAGGTACAAGAAAAATAGTGTACTGTTTGTCACTCTGAAGCGCAAATAATGATCCTTGGAGAAGAACTCAAACTTTCATTCCAAACTATTTTGTGTGGTTTTCTTTTTCTATGGGTACTAATATGATGTATTTAACGATGATCAACATGAACATTGGCTTAAACTTTGTGTTGTCCTAGTAAAACAATTGCATTGAAGTTCTTCTGATTATTTGAATATATATATATATATATATTTAATGACCTATTGAGCTTAGTGATCAGTTCACATATTGTTGTCTCATGATAAGGATTTTGTTGATCTAGAAAGAAAATTTTTATTGATATAAAGCATGGTACAAGGATTACAATAGGTTACATCATAACAAAATAGCCAGAGGCAAAACCCTTTTGACAATGTTATCTGTAGTGGGAAACCTTTAGCTCTTGCTTCTCCTTCCCTCTTGAGTAACTTGGCCAAGGCTGGATCGATTTTGTAAATTTTTTTATTTTTTATTTTTTTTTTGATCTGCAAAAAGAAACGTTATTGATGAAAATCATCAAAACAAGGAGATCCAGCAGCAATAAAGAAAGAGAAAAGGTGAGTGCAAAATGCATCATATCGAGACAAAACGATTCCAACTAGGTTGGCACCTAACAAAAAATGGAAATCTTATTCAATGAATGAATAGTTCAACAATTACAGATATTTGTACTAGTTGATGCTCAAGTGTTCATAACTAACTCTGATCCACTTTCTCATCTAACAACCTTCACTATTACAGTTGCACCTTCACAAGCTTGAATCTAATCTTGATTCTAGTGGCTGTGTGAAACGCACTCACATTGTGCTGAGGTTGCAGCCTTTGGCTAAACTGCTTGGGCTGCATCTGCTGCTGTGGCTGTGATGCCTGTTGACACAATGGCATCTGGTGCTGGTGCTGGTGCTGGTGCTGCTGTTGTGGCTATGGCTGCAGTTGTGGTTGTGCTGCCTTTTGGCACATGGACTTAGTACTCTTATCATCCTCCCTCAAACTAATGGGGCTAGGAAGCACCAAAAATTTGTCTTTGAGATGCGGGAATCTAGATGAGGTAGCCCTTTCAGAGCTGAGCACGCTTGCATATTTATGATATTTTCTTTCATATGAAAAATATGCCAAACAATTTCTCTTTAGGCCCTCGAAAAGTCAAGGACGGCCCTATCTAGGTGATCATGAAATGACCAATCTTTAATACAGGGATTGATTAGTGAAGCTCGGGTAGACTCTTTCAACTTGCCTGTGTATGTAATTCACTACGACATGGTCAAGGCTGTGGAAAGAAATGCTTGTTTCAGCATTAAGAGAATCCAGTTGACAAATTCCTTGTTGAAAATTGATGAGCTCCGTATTATGCACGCATGTTTAACGCATCAAACACTTTGGAAGTAAGATAATGGCCCAAATATTGGTCCGATTTAGGAAAACAACAAATGATATGGATTCATAAAATTTATTCAGAAAAATACTACAAAAGAGATGATAGTGTTGTTTGGTACAATTTATTGTAAATTAAAAGTTAATAATCCAAAAGTAGAAGTCAAAAAATACACCTCACCTAGATTTTAGAAATCAACTTTTTTTCAATTTATTTAAGTTATTTTTTGCCTAGTAAGTTATAGACAAAAATTACACCAAACAGTCTGACATAAATTTCAAAAATAAAAAAAAAACTATAAACAACTCTGACATGCTGCAGCAAACAGCTCAAATGTATGGTTGCAATTTGTTTCAAGTGTAGATCTCACTAAATAATAATTGAATCCAAATCACACATGCTTTTCTAGACAAAACCCTTTACAAGTTTTCATGGTAGATAACTTTTTCTGTTATAAAAATGTAGCTGTGGTCTCCATGATGGAACAAGATACAAGAAAAAAATTATACTGTTGGCTGCTGTGAAGTGCAAATAATGTGACTTAGAGAACTCAACCTTTTGTTCCAGCTTATTTGCTCTGTTTTCTCTTTTGTGGGTGTACTAGTGCAAAGCATGTATGTCAAGTATTTTTTGTTATTTTACTTCTTAGGATCAAATTGTTATTAAAATAGTTCATGCATTTGGAAAATGTTAAAACAATTAATTTTTGTTATTGGAATATTTATGTGGGGATTGGAATTTCTTTTTTATAAAAATTTTAAAACTTGGCTTCTTTGTGTTTAAAAAATATATTTATTTCTCAATTTTCAAATAAATAAATTAAAACCAAACAGTTAAAATGTTAATGGTTTATATAGCCAAAAATAACCCTTTCTTTTATGGTAAAAATAAACAGAGACTATGAACACATACCAATTAAGTTGACACAGAATCAAATAGCGAAATCCGATGCGATCATCAAAACAAACAAGTTGGCAAACAACCAGACACTAATAAGGCAAAAAACCGGGCCATTTCCCTAAATAAGCCAAAATAATAAAGGAATTCCCAAACTAAGCCTAGTTTTGAAAGATTTTCCAAAATAAGCTAACTCGCGGTTCACAATCGCGAGTTCAAGACTTTTCCACCCTCGTCGCCTGAAACCTGTGAAGGTTGAAACTCGCTGTTAGGAAAAGCGAGTTTGATTAAGAACTCGCTGTTAGAAAACGCGAGTTTGATTAAACTTCTTTTGAAATCGTTGTTTACAAGCACGATTTCATTCTGAAATCGCTTTTTCAAAACACGAGTTCATCAAAAAATAGAATTCTTCTGAACTCGCTGTTCATAACCACGAGTTTAGACGAAATATTTTTTCTTTAAGTGAAATCGTGGTTCACAACCACGATTTTAGAACTTCTATATAAACCCCCCCAGCCCCGTGTTTTCCATTCACGATTTCATTTCTCCTCTCTGCTGCTGTCTCTCTCTCACTCTGTACTCTCTGTTCTCTCTCGCTCTTCACTCTCTGTTCTCTCTCTCTCTGGAGCTCGCAGCTCTCTCTCTCTCTCTCTGGAGCTCCCTCTGATTGATTCAGTATTGTCTCTCTCTCTCTCTCGTTGGTATGGCTTCTATCATCTACTTTACTGTGAATAAATTAGGATTAGAGTTTAAATTTGTGAATATATTTATGTTTGTGAAAATGTGAATAAATTAGGGTTAGGGTTCATGAATGTGGGGTTAGGGTTAGGGTTTATATTTGTGAATAAATTAGGGTTAGGGTTCATGAATGTGGGATTAGGGTTAGGGTTTATATTCGTGAATAAAATGTTGTGAAATCAGAAATAATAAAGGGTTACGGTTTATATTTGTGAAATTTTTGTTCAATGTGTGAAATAATAAATTTGTTGAATTTGTTTACGGTTTATAATAAATTAGGGTTACGGTTTATAATAAATCTGCTTGGGCTGCATCTGCTGCTGTGGCTGTGATGCCTGTTGACACAATGGCATCTGGTGCTGGTGCTGGTGCTGGTGCTGCTGTTGTGGCTATGGCTGCAGTTGTGGTTGTGCTGCCTTTTAGCACATGGACTTAGTACTCTTATCATCCTCCCTCAAACTAATGGGGCTAGGAAGCACCAAAAATTTGTCTTTGAGATGCGGGAATCTAGATGAGCTAGCCCTTTCAGAGTTGCATTTATGATATTTTCTTTCATATGAAAAATATGCCAAACAATTTCTCTTTAGGCCCTCGAAAAGTCAAGGACGGCCCTATCTAGGTGATCATGAAATGACCAATCTTTAATACAGGGATTGATTAGTGAAGCTCGGGTAGACTCTTTCAACTTGCCTGTGTATGTAATTCACTACGACATGGTCAAGGCTGTGGAAAGAAATGGTTGTTTCAGCATTAAAGAGAATGCAGTAGGCAAATTCCTTGTTGAAAATTGAGGAGCTCCGTATTATGCACGCATGTTTAACGCATCAAACACTTTGGAAGTAAGATAATGGCCCAAATATTGGTCCGATTTAGGAAAACAACAAATGATATGGATTCATAAAATTTATTCAGAAAAATACTACAAAAGAGATGATAGTGTTGTTTGGTACAATTTATTGTAAATTAAAAGTTAATAATCCAAAAGTAGAAGTCAAAAAATACACCTCACCTAGATTTTAGAAATCAACTTTTTTCAATTTATTTAAGTTATTTTTTGCCTAGTAAGTTATAGACAAAAATTACACCAAACAGTCTGACATAAATTTCAAAAATAAAAAAAAAACTATAAACAACTCTGACATGCTGCAGCAAACAGCTCAAATGTATGGTTGCAATTTGTTTCAAGTGTAGATCTCACTAAATAATAATTGAATCCAAATCACACATGCTTTTCTAGACAAAACCCTTTACAAGTTTTCATGGTAGATAACTTTTTCTGTTATAAAAATGTAGCTGTGGTCTCCATGATGGAACAAGATACAAGAAAAAAATTATACTGTTGGCTGCTGTGAAGTGCAAATAATGTGACTTAGAGAACTCAACCTTTTGTTCCAGCTTATTTGCTCTGTTTTCTCTTTTGTGGGTGTACTAGTGCAAAGCATGTATGTCAAGTATTTTTTGTTATTTTACTTCTTAGGATCAAATTGTTATTAAAATAGTTCATGCATTTGGAAAATGTTAAAACAATTAATTTTTGTTATTGGAATATTTATGTGGGGTTTGGAATTTCTTTTTTATAAAATTTTTAAAACTTGGCTTCTTTGTGTTTAAAAAATATATTTATTTCTCAATTTTCAAATAAATAAATTAAAACCAAACAGTTAAAATGTTAATGGTTTATATAGCCAAAAATAACCCTTTCTTTTATGGTAAAAATAAACAGAGACTATGAACACATACCAATTAAGTTGACACAGAATCAAATAGCGAAATCCGATGCGATCATCAAAACAAACAAGTTGGCAAACAACCAGACACTAATAAGGCAAAAAACCCCCAAACAATACACTTACAATCCATGACAAGAAAAAGGCTATAGCAGGCAGTAACAAAACAGATTCTCCACCTTACGGCCTCTGCTTGAATTAAACACTACGACTAAATACAGAGGAAGCATGGACACTTCTGCAAAGGAAGTGTGTCACACGACACTCTTTTGATACTTTTAAAAAGCATGTCTATCATTTGTTTAAGGGTAAATTACAGTGTGTTTTCTAAATTCAGGTTTTTGAAAATTGAATTTTTTGTTTTTTTATATTTTTATTTTTATTTTTAGTGAATA